AGCGCGATGATGCTCGTCGTAGCGGCGCTTGGCATGCTGCTGCGCCTGAAGAAGGCGCTCCCGGACCTCCACCAAGAAGGTTTCCCGGTCCCGGAGCATGGTGTCCGCAGCCTCCGTGTCAGCGGCCCCCTCTCTGTGGGGAAGGAGGGGCGGCGGAGGCCGGCCGTAAACCACCTCAAACGGCGTCGCCCGGAGCGCCGTGTGGAACGACGTGTTGTAGCCGTACTCCGCCCATGGAAGCCAATCCACCCATGAGCGCGGGCGGTCGCCGGTCGCACAACGAAGGTACATCGCGATCACCTTGTTGACGACCTCAGATTGGCCGTCGGTCTGAGGATGAAACGCCGTGCTCAAACGCAGCTTCACACCTGCAAGCTTAAAGAGGTCACGCCACAGGTTGCTGGTGAAGACCGGATCGCGATCGCTAATGATGGAGTTGGGGAAGCCGTGGAGCCGCACAATCCCTTCGAAGAAGGCACGGGCGACCGAGGTGGCGGTGTAGGGGTGGCTGAGGGCGATGAAGTGAGCGTATTTGGAGAACCGGTCCACCACCATCAAGATCACCGACTTGCCATGCACCTTGGGAAGGCCATCGATGAAGTCCATGGAAATGTCAGCCCACACCTGTGACGGCACGTCCAGGGGTTGGAGGAGGCCAGCCGGCTGTGTGGTCGGCGTCTTGTTGTGTTGGCACACGTCGCAGGAGCGGACGAAGTCCTACACAAGCTTGCGGTCGCCGGGGATGTAGAAATTGCCACGGAGTTGCACAAGGGTCTTCTGAACACCCTCATGCCCGGCGGTGTGGGCCAGGGCCACCACTTGGTGGCGCAGGTCCCCCAGATCGGGGACGTAAACGCGCTTGCCATGGAGGAGGAAACCATCCATGGTCCCCCACGGTGCCTCCAGGTGGGTGTCTTCCTGCTGTTGCAGGAGACCGCGCGCCACGGGGTCGTCGGTGGTGGCCGTCCTGATGTCATCGAAGAGGGTGAAGGACGGTCCCGACAAGGTGCACACCGCTGTAGTGTCCTCATCGCGACGGGACAGCGCGTCGGCCGCCGAATTGAGCCGGCCCGGACGATACTCCACTGTGAAGTCGAACCCGAACAACTTGCCAATCCACTGGTGTTGCGGAACCGTGGAAAGTCGTTGGTCTAGGAGAAACTTCAGGCTATAGTGGTCGGTACGGACGAGGAAGCGGCGCCCCCACAAGTACGGCCGCCAATGCCGCACCGCTTGCACCAAGCCAATTAGCTTGCGCTCATAGGTCGCCAGTTTGACATGATGTGCAGCGAACGGCCTGCTGAAGAAGGCCAGGGGGCCCGACCCCTGGTGCAGAACGGCGTCGAAGCCCGCGCCCGACGCGTCATAGTCGACCAGGAACTGGCGCACGAAGTCCGGCATCTGCAAAACTGGGGCTGACGAGAGAGCCTGCTTGAGGACGGCAAAGGCCTCAGCAGCCTCCGCTGTCCAGACGAACGCCTCCTTGCGCAGGAGACGCGTGAGTGGCGCCGCGATGGAGCCGAAGTGGCGGATGAACTTCCGGTAGTATCCCGTGAGCCCGAGGAAGCCGCGCACACCCCGTGGGGAGAGAGGCGTCGGCCAAGAGGCGACCGCGGGCACCTTGTCGCTGTCCATAGCGACGCCGTCGGCGGAGATGACGTGGCCGAGGTAGGCGACGGAGAGGGTCCTGAAGGAGCACTTCGACCTCTTTAGGTAGAGGCCGTGAGCTCGCAAGGCGGTGAAGACGAGGCCCACGTGCTGGAGATGCTCGGACCACGACGTGCTGTAGATCAGAATGTCATCGAAGAAAACCAGCACGATCCTGTGAAGGAAGGGCCGGACGTCGTTCATCAGCGCCTAGAAAGTAGCCGAGGCATTGGACAACCCAAACGGCATCACCAGGAACTCGAAGTGGCCATGATGGGTGCGGAAAGCGGTCTTCTCGACGTCCGCGGGGTGCATGCGCACCTGGTGGTAGCCCGATCGGAGGTCGAGCTTGGTAAAGTAGCGAGCCCCGTGAAGCTCGTCGAGGAGTTCATCAACCACCGGGATGGGAAATTTGTCCTTGGACGTTTTGTCATTGAGCGCTCGATAGTCGATGCAGAAGCGCCATGACCCGTCCGCCTTCTTGACAAGCAGCACCGGCATGAGGAACGGGGATGTACTCGGTCGGATGATGCCCTGCTCCAACATGGCGGCACACTGTCGCTCCAACTCGTCCTTCTGTAGCTGCGGGTACCGGTAAGGGCGCACCACCACCGGCGCGGTCCCAGGTAGGAGATGGATGCGGTGGTCGTAGGGCCACGCTGGAGGGAGGCCATGAGGTTCATCAAAGATGGCCCCGTGCTGTAGCAGTAGCTAGTCCAGCAGCGGGTGTTGCGGGTCAGCCATGACCGCAGCTAGGGGCTGGTGATTCGTCAGAGCGCCGGGGGCGCCAACGCATTGCCACGTCACGCGTCGGCCGTCCCTCTAGAAAGCCACGATCAGGCCCTCGAAGTCCCAGAGCAGGGGACCCAACGTCCCGAGGAAGTCGACGCCGAGGATGAAGTCGAAGCAGCCGAGCGTGAGGCCGACGCAGGTGACGGGGAAAGACTCACCACCGATGGTGATAGGGACGTCATGAGCGATCCCCTCACACGACACGCGCTCGCCGTTGGCGACGGTGACACAGGTGGCGCCCCGTGAGCGAGACCCAGCGGCGTGATGACGGTACCCTGGAGGAAGGTGTGGGTGGAACCCGTGTCCAGCAGGGCGAGGAGGCGTTACCCGTTGACCACAACCGGCAGCAGCAATGTGTGGTAGGGTCGGATCCCTGCAAGAGCGTACACTGAAACAACAAGGGCATTAACAGTGGCCCCCGGAGGTGTGGACTCCTCGAGCTGTGCAGCCGCGTCGTCGTCCGCGGCGTTGAGCCCCTCGTCATCGATGTAGTCTGTGGACTCCAGGTAGAACAAGTGGGGGCACACGTGTCCCCGCACATACTGCTCATCACAGTTATAGCACAAGCCTTGGCGACGGCGTTCGAAACATCTCGTCCCGACGATAGAGGCGTCGGGCGAGCAAGCGTCCATCGCGCCCGAGCTGCGCAGATGCCGGCGCTCAGAAGGGCGGAGGGCAGCCATCGAGTAGCACCCCGCGGAAGCCCGTGCTGGAGTGGCCGACCGCTGAGGAGGACGTGCGCCACGCTGTGCAGGCACCGCCATGGACTCGGCGCGACGTTCGAAAGCACGAGCCAAGTACATGGCCGTCTGGAGGTCACTGGGATCCCGCATCTCCACATCCACGCCGCGAATGTGGTCCGGAGACCACCCACGAAGCAGCTTGAACTTTCCGGCATGTAGATATGTCTGGCGTGTGCGGAGACCGCTCGAAGCGACCGGCAAACTCCTCCACCGAAGAGTGAAACGGCAGCCGGCCCAGTTCCGCCAGGCGGGTGCCACGGATAGGAGGCCCGAAACGTTGGTGACACAGGTCCTTGAAACGGTCCCATGGAGGCATGCCCTCGTCCTGCTCGAGGGCGTAGTACCACGTCTGGGCCGCTCCGGTGAGGTGGTAGGATGCCATCCATGTGCGCGTTGAAAATTCTTTCCGATGGCGTGAGTTGGCCCCGAAAGAATTGCTCACAATGCGTGAGCCAGTTCAACGGATCCACGGAGCCGTCATAAGTTGTGAACTCAAGCTTGTGGAATTTTGGGGCATCTTCGCCTTGCTGGCGTAAGCCGACGCGCCACCCTCCCTCCACCTTTGTCGTTGAAGCTCGGTATTTGGTGGCGGTGGCATAAACGATCTCTTGCCGTGGAAGAGGGTGCCATCCATCCCGCCGTAGAGGGTACCCGACGCCACGGGTCCCCCATGGTCCATTACGCCACCGGTGGAGGGCGTCACGGGAACGTGCAGCCGGGACGGGGCCGTGGTATAAACGGGGCTGGGGTGCCCCAGGGCCCAGGCTGGAATCGGGGATGGCGATGGTGGGAATCGGATCATGTGGATCGGGACGTTCGTCGACGGCAGCGACGTAGAGGTGGAAGATGATGGGCTGGCATCGGTGGGCATCCCGTAGGGGTACGAGATCGGCAGCATCGGTTGGAAAAGCGGCGAGGGATTGGTGAGGTGGTCTTCGCGTAAGGGTCAGCATCGGTGGGTGGATCTTGGAGGATGGATCTGCGTCGTCAACCGCATCTCCGCCATGCCATATTTGAGATCGACGATGGCCGCCGCCGCTTGTTTTTCGGGCGTGAAGATGACCACAGAGGGCGCAGCGGTAGTCGCGGCATCAGCGGCGACGGTTCGGCTTTCATCGCCGACGTGGAGGACGCAGTGGCGGCGGTGGTGGTGGACAGGAGGAGGCTTGCTTTGCGCCCGGCCAGCGCAGTGCATGGCAGTGGTGGAGGCGGGAGATCGACATCTCTGATACCAGGTTGGTACCGACCGGTGCTCTCGCTCTGATGGATCGAAGATTGTACGGATGGTTGATGGCTGGGCGTGGTTTGAAGATGGAGGATCGACAACGGGGCGCCGTGATCTCGTGCGCAAGTAAGGGAACAGCGGCGGCTAGGGCAAACTCCCGGCTCCCTAAGGAAGCCGAGTAATATGATTACTCTTGCTTAAAATCCAATTGTGCCTGATTACAAGTATTTATACTTCCATGAATAAAATTGAGAAATAAAACTAAATATGCTAACAGGCTCTCTTAGCCACTAATGGGCTTCCACCTGGAATACTGCGGCCCGGTCATAACAGGCAGTATGTCTTTTTAGCATTTTCTGAATTTGCCCCCAAATCATTCTAGCTAATAGCTATTATGAACATGTTACAGACTCTTGACTGTTGAGGAAGAAAGAGATGAGCAATGGCTGAATGCACCATCACTGCTCTGCAGCTCTTCCCCCCCATGGTATAAAATCTACTAGCAGCAGAAAACGTCATCCAATCCAATGGAAAAAATTTCAAAGAGGCAGAGAAAGAAAGGAAGAGGCGAGTGGATTGATGAATAGTTATAGTTACTCCAGCAGCTTGGTCCTGCCATTCTCCTTGTCCTCTGGTTCTTCGTCGTCCGAGGAGGAGGTCTCCGACGAGTCGTTGGGCTCCTCGAAGAAGGTGTCGATGAAGGAGGAGCACTCCTCGGCCCAGCTGCGGCGGTTGGCGGAGGCGCGCCACTGCTGGTCGGCGATCATCTCGGGCGACATGCCCCACTGCTGGAGCTCCTCCTTGGTGTGGTGCACGAGGAGGGAGTACTCACCGCCGGGGCCCAGCTGCATGACCCTGAACTCGCAGTTGTCGAAGTTGTTGAGGCGCTCGTACTGCGCCACCGTCCACTTGAACCACTTCATGAGGAACACCCGCGAGGTGAGGCCGTGGGAGACGATCACCAGGTTGGTCTCGCAGCTGGGGTCCTGGTCCAGCCTCCCCATGTCGATGTCCCGCCACAGCGACTCCAGGAAGCCTGCAATGCAATCATCCAATCCATGGGTTGGTTGATGAGTCGTCAATGGTGGAGGAGAAGAGCAGAGCAGAGCAGAGGAGACGGTGGATCGGAAGGGAAGGGATGGGATCATCATACTGGCGACGCGGTCGAAGACGTCGGCGGCGGACTCGCCCTCGGGGAACCGAAAGAAGAAGCGGCCGAAGCGCTGGCGAGTCTCCTTTACGGCGCGCATGCGCTCCTCGACCTGGAAGTTGCCGAAGTCCTGCTCGCGGACGCGGCATTCCTCGCGGACGCCGATGACGCGGTCCCGCGGGAAGGCGCGGCCGATCTCGCGCAGCGTGGCGCGGGTGCGCGCGTAGGGGGACACGTAGAAGTGGACCTTCCAGTTGCCTCCCGCCGACGCCACCACGTCGTGGATGCGGCGCCCCGCGGCGCGCGCCTGCTCCGCGCCCAGCGCCGTCAGCGGGATGCGGTAGTCGGGCGTGGTGGTGTAGGCCGACATGTCCAGGTTCCCCTGGCTCTCGCCGTGCCGCACCAGGATGATGCGCTTCGGCAGCCGCCGCGCGCACTGCGGGTGGTGCTGCCGCGTCATCTCGCAGAACCGGCACTCGCTTCCGCCGGGGTCGTGTGCCGCCGCCGCCGCTGCTGGTGGTGGTGTTTCTTCTGCTGCTGCTGCTTGGCCTGTTGCGGCGACGGGGTGCTGGTGGTGGCGCGATGCCGTGTCGAGTGACATGGGTAGCTGGCACCGGGGGTATATAAAGCCGGTGAGGTGGTTGGGTGATGGGTGGGGCCGTGAGGGCAACGAAAGCAGTTTATTTTGTGGGGTTCCGGGCAGCGGCGCTCCGATCACCAGCTGGAGCCATGGAGGAGGAGGTGGCTGCCGCAATCAAGCCGCGGGATTCGGCCTCGCTGGCAGCCAAGCTTTACACGGCAAGGAATAATCAGGAGATTAGTAGGAATGGTATGATTACCACCACTACTGCCACAGTCATCAGGATAAAACTATTGCTGCCAGTTTTGTCAACTCCAATTGAGATCGATCACTGCCTTCAACATGACATAAGATAAAATAAATTATATTATACAGCATCTGATTTTTGTAAAGACAAGCAACACATGAACCAAATTTCACGGGAAAAAAAAGGATAATAGGTCAGCTACAATCCTCAGGTAGATCATAATGAACCCCGGTCGATGAATTAACCAACAGCGATGCTACAAAATGTAAGTTAACAAATCAAGTACACGATCAAGTTAAATCTGAATTATTATTACCACGGATCTAGTAGGAGTTAATATAGGTTAAGGCCCTGTTTAGTTCCACTTCGTTTTGCCAAATTTTTCAAGATTCTCCGTCACATTGAATCTTTAGACGCATGTATGAAGCATTAAATATAAATAAAAAATAAAACTAATTACACAGTTTAGACGAAATCCACGAGACGAATCTTTTAAGCCTAATTAGACTATGATTGGACACTAATTGCCAAATAACAACGAAAATACTACGGTACTCATTTTGCAAAAAAAATTGCATCTAAACTGAGCCTAACATTCCCAGGCGCAAAGTTCATTTGTTTTCAGAGGGTGGTGGACTGGTGACAGAGACAGACCCGACCAAGCAAGGTGGTCAGCTCAACAGCTCGCTGAAAAAAGGAGTACGAGTACTCCCCGTGCCTGCCACGTGGTCACGGGGGACGAGGCCTTTCATCAAACACGGTGCGGACTGCAGAGGGTGTGGCCTGACTGATACGGTGGCTAGCGTATCCAAGTGTCCTTGCTCCCGTGTGAAGGAGTCGGTGCATGCGCGCCGCACCCGCAACCGCAAGGGGCCACGAGAAGCAGCCGACCTCCTGCCCTGCCCCCGGGTCGGTGGGTTGAGTGAGCCATTCGCCACCCCCATCGTAAAGGCGGCACCGAAGGGCAAAACCGTGTGCGCGGACACGGCACCCACGCACCGCCGTCCCAGACGGGTAGCTACCCCACACAGCCCAGGTCCCACACATAACATTCGTACCCTCCTATCTTAACACCGTACAGACAAAGAGGACTCGGGCAGAACTGCTACACATCGCGCCGACACCCACGTCACGTCTCACCCAACACCGATCGTAACATACCATGATGAACGGTCGCCAGCATGCAGACCTGCGACGACAGCTGATGCAAGCAACAACTCTAATGTAGGCCTTGTTTAGATACCCTCAAAATTCAGTTTTTTCACTCTCTCCATCATATCAATTTTTAGCCGTTTGCATAGAGCATTAAATGTAGGTAAAAAAAATAATTAATTATACAGTTTAGTTAGAAATCACGAGATGAATCTTTTAAGCTTAATTGGTCCATGATTGAACAATATTTACTAAATAAGACAAAAGTGCTACTATTTATCGGGTTGAAATTTTTTTCAATCTAAACAAGGCCCTAACCGAAGGAGAAAAAGAATCTACTCGTACTCCTAGTCCTATCATCCTATGTGTGACAATCTAATCCAAACGGCACAGTTTCCCCTTCCATTAGTGAACCGGATTGTCTCCCGTAAAACTCACATTTTTTTAGACCTCCGAATAGGGTGCTTGCCAAGCCTGACTTGCGTGTTGCTGTTGCTATCCTTCAGGTAATTGTTGCAATCTCGTAAATTAACATAGTAACTATCGTAACTCAAAGTGGCCACAAAATAAGTTATTCTATAACCAGCTGCAGAACAGTATATATATATATATATATATATATATATATATATATATATATATATATATATATATATATATATATATATATGGTCTCCACCACATGCCCCCAAAGGTAGGCAAGCTTTTGGGAGCAAGTCTTCTCCCCTAAGGAAGAAGAACATCTCATGTGGCAATGTGGTGCTCCACCAATGCACCGATCCGGATAAGATAAATGGTAAATGGGTACAGCTTGGATTGCACTACAGTCTCAGTTCAGTTTCTTCCCATCAATTCGGTCACTTTCACACACCCAGCAATCCATTAAACTAAGGCAAGGTTTAGTGTAGTCGGATAGTCCAACCGATTTATCCATGTTTTTTAATATTAAACAGATCACCAACCATCAAACCGAAAAAAAAATGAGAGAGAACGATCACAAGTGAAGTGAGAAGCGACCAGGGGCGGATTCAACGGTGTGACGGAGGGGGCTCAAGCCCCCCCCTACAAATCTTTGGAGCCCCCATAAATTTTTAGGCAAAGTTCTATCATGTATGTGGGGCTAAAACTTAAGATCGAACAGCAGTCGAAGATAATGCGATGGGAATGTGAGAGCAGGGAGATGAGATGAATAAGCTTTGCCAACTTTGGTGCTAAATAATGAGGTATGCATGTTTGGGCATTGAAAATTCTTTCCGATGACTGACCGAGGTGTGCCCAGTTTCGCTTGCATGAGGCTCCGCCCCTGCCCTCAGAAGCAAACTCATCAAAATGTGATGGCAACAATTCGCAATTCTGCACATAGTAAGCCTCGAACCCTCAAAACCTCTCCCCACATACCCACCTCCAAAACAAAACAAAAAAAGGAGAAGGGGGGTGCATAAACGATCTCTGAAGCAGACAAGTGATTTCTAAAGAGATCTACTATCAAAAAATAGCATTGATATTATATTAAAGAAAAAGAAGAAGAAGAAAACGACAAAAAATCCTATTTTAGTGGTCCATCTGGTGACCACACGTTCCTCTAACCATGCAATGGGACAATTCAAATGTCTGATGCATCGCTTAATTATGCCTTTCCCTGACAGACATTAAAAGAAAACTACTGTCACCAACCCAAATCACACAACTCAGGAGTCACTCGTACCAAAGAATCCAACAAATACACCCAACTGTTAGGGCGCACTGATGAACATCTTACCTAACCATCAACAGATAAGCTGAATATTGGCATACTGCTGCCTTAAATGACATGCAACAATCGACACTGAAGAACTACTCTTTCCATGGATATATTCAAAAGAGTTAGAGAGAGAGAGATATTCTCATGCATGAATCATACTAAGAGCATGGTTTAGTCTTTGGCAAAAGAAGGAATACTTTGACAAACTATCAACAGTGAAGGAACATCAATGGTTCTCATCTCTTTGTTGCCTGACATTCCATGGCAAGCTTTCCGTTCAACAATCAGGGCATATAAACCTAACACGGAACATTCATGTTTAATGGTATAAAGTGACAGAATCTGGTTCTTCTTTAACAAATGCCATTCTACTGCAGAGGGCACAAATCAAGTAGAACCCCCAACCAATGTCCAGAACGCGGTAGAATATTGATGGGCTGGTGAGATAATGTGCCTAAAACTGCATATCATCACAATAATTTTTAAGGCTAAGGGCAACTGTGAGTGCTTGGCCAACTGGAGGCAACCATAGCAAAAAAAAAAATGAAGTCAAAACAGATCTCTGGGTCATGTGAGCACTTTGTCTGACTAATTGGGCACCCAAATGCAGCATCTTATTAACTAAAACTGGTGATGGGAAATGGGGAAAAGACAGTCTAACTGGTTCTGTGCTCAAATACTGCATATTATTAATTACCACTGATGGTAATGGAAAAAAGATGTAGAATATTAATGGGAAAATGTCTAAAGCACACCATTTTCCTGTCTCTTGTAGCCCATAATTACTAAGCGAAATTATATTAACATCATCTTTATTAGGCAACTGCAGATATACCCCACGAACTCATGATACATCTAAAAGAAACAAATTAAAGTTCTTCCAAGGTGTCAGGGTGAGGTATCAACTCAAAATGCTCTCTTCCTCTGCTGATTTTCTCTTTTTTTAACGCAATCTGCTGATTTTCTCAGTTATGTACTGAACTTTTCTGTCAATTTCACAAAATCTTTGTGTTAATAATTCATATTTCTATGTGAATTCATCACGGATTATTAAATGCAGCAAAGCTATAGTCTAGTTCCATTAAATCCCATGTGCTGGAATACTTCCTGGACTAAAAATATCCCCTTAGTTGTTCTCACCGTGATGTTACCTCCATAGCCCTGCACCCCTAGTCATCCCTTGAGCCCTGCACCATCGAGTTCTTCCTGGCTACAACATTTCTAGCTAGAAATTTCTAACTAAGTTCTAGAGTGTCAGACTGTTAATAGTTGTTATTAATATCTCAGTGACTCTGTCAACAACATAACTTGGGTGTTTTCCAACATAAATAGTATGACAATATTGATACACTGTACAACAGCTATCTTTCATTACAAATAGATGGCTGCTAGTCGAACAACAACAACAACAAAGCCTTTAAGTCCCAAACAAGTTGGGGTAGGCTAGAGTTGAAACCCAGCAGAAGCAATCAAGGTTCAGGCACGTGAATAACTGTTTTCCAAGCACTCTTATCTAAGGCTAAGTCTTTGGGTATATTCCATCCTTTCAAGTCTCCCTTTATTGCCTCTACCCAAGTCAACTTCGGTCTTCCTCTGCCTCTCTTCACGTTACTATCCTGGCTTAGGATTCCACTACGCACCGGTGTATCTGGAGGTCTCCGTTAGACATGTTCAAACCATCTCAACCGGTGTTGGACAAGTTTTTCTTCAATTGGTGCTACCCCTAATCTATCACGTATATCATCGTTCCGAACTCGATCCCTGCTTGTATGACCGCAAATCCAACGCAACATATGCATTTTCGCGACACTTATCAGTTGAACATGTCGTCTTTTCGTAGGCCAACATTCTGCACCATACAACATAGCAAGTCTAATCAAC